TATAGTGGTTAAGATGATAACACAATGTTGACTGCTGTACCCCTATTTTTGACATTTTTACCTATTGTGTCTGTTTGTTTTGTTCACGCATCATTGTCAATATAATGGAATTTGATGCGACTGTCATACAAGTGGGAGGTTTAGCTAGCTATAAAACCAGGTTCAATCCACCATTTTCTACATAAGAAAATGCCTGGGACTCAGGAATATGACAGTTGTTATCCATTCGTTTGATGTGTTTGTTTTTTATTTTTATTTTGCCATTTGATTGGGGACTTTCCTTTTTGAATTTTCCTCGGAGTTCAGTATTTTTGTGATTTTACACTTATAAAATTGTTTCTAAGATAGGCGAATATTTTTCAAATCAATAACTAAAATATAATAAAAAAATTGTTACGGATAAACAGTCGAGACATTTAACTGTATACGTAGCTCCCCCTGAATTAAGATTTACTCCCCTGGAAAAATCACAGATTCATTGATGCTTGTACAATTCATAGAAATGTAGTTTATATCTGTAATATTTCGTAAGTAATATGAAGACAAAGTCTTTTAATTAAATGAATTTCCAAGGAAAATCTTATAAATAAAATGTATCATTATGTTGCAATTTAAAAAGCACGTTTGAACCTGACTTTTGGAACAGGCAACCAATTAAACGCCCTCTTGAGCCTAATATTCACACTATCTATACAAAAGTGGTACAGACTCGAAAGATCATCCAGGAAAATATTGATATCAATAATTATATATATATAGTTTTAGCATTCAGTTAACATAATAATTATATGGGAACATCACACCTATATTTTGTAGATTAAAATTTTATAGAGTTATAAGCTATAACTGTAGGTGAAATTTTAGATGAAGCGTTTCATATAACATGTATAAAATCTCCTTCCGTCAACGCTTTAACATCTTAACAAAACTACAAAAGAATAATGCATTTCTTAAGTACTGAATACGCATGTATCAACTTTTCGAAAAATATATTGCTACATATCAAGTGTCAAATTAATTTTGACCTCACATGTACACGAGTAGATAAAAAGTTAATTTCAATGAATAAAGCTCTTTTTCTTTCTTTTTTTAACTGCAACATGTCATGTACGACTTGAGTGAATTGATATTGACATTCTGTTGGGCCTTTGTTAATATTTTGTATTTTCAGATGTTCTCACAGTTACTGCTGCGAGTGCATCAACAGTGATTGTGATAATTGCGTTGATTGTTTTCCTTGTTATAAGAAAAAGGTGAGTCCAATTATATCTAAAAAAACATTCTTGTAATTTGAATTCCGGTATATGATATCCAATATATGAACATGTTTAGCATATGGATTCAATAAATAACTTCATGTTTTACTTCTCTCTATGGAAATAATCACCATAAACCATATTTTGCGTTCATTTTCTTTCGAATAAAAAAGTGCAATCTTTCTAAAAGTCATATCAGTAAATCAGCATTGGCATCTTATATCTGGCCTCCTTTAAGTAAAACGGTTTGCCGTATCCTATAAATAAACGTTCGTGGTTAGCAGACTATACATAGATTTGGTCTGCAAGTTTTGCTGTACCTGTAGAAAACTTATTTCAAACGGAATAGCACATCATAAATTGTACATTGGTGTTGTAAACCGAGCCAGGAAATTTAGTTTCGATCCGGGTAAACTTATCAATCCTTCAAAATAAACTTATTCTAAAAGGTTACCTATTCAACACTGTAATTAAATCTTTGAATACTGTTTTTATTGGTATAAATTTTGATTTTGTTATCAGTAATTTAAAACCATACTAAGTATTACACATATGTACTTTCAAGGTACTTCAATCTATAGTTTTGCCTTGTACAAGGTCATGTTTTTCTCTGACTGTCTCAGGTTAGGGGAGGGTTGAGAGCTCAAAAACATGTTTAACCCCACCACATTCTTTATGTGCCTGTCCCAAGTCAGGAGCCTGTAGTTCAGTGGTTGTCATTGGTTCATGTCTGTCATATTTGTTTTTCGTAAATTGTTTTGTTATAAATTAGGCCGTTAGTTTTTCTCAATTGAATTGTTTCATATTTTGCATGTCGGGGCCTTTTATAGCCGACCATACGGTATGGGTTTTTCTCATTGTTGAAGGCCGTACGGTTGCCTATAATTGCTTACATCCACTTCATTTGAACTTTGGTGGATAGTTGTCTCATTGGCAATCATACCACATCTCCTTATTTTTATATAAACAATGACTACTTGATTTTTTTAAAAGCTCGTGCGTACAAAACAAACAATGTATGCTCACGACACGCATTAGTATAATGTCGGAAACACTGTTTTTATATTAGATTTCTTTTCCAGATTTTAACATGGTTTATGGTGTTCCCTACTAGAGAACCTCACATGAAATCAATATAAAGTTCAGTCTAAGGTCAAAAGTGTTTCACCTATTGGAAATTCCCCTATTATTTCATTTAAAAACTAAATTTTAATAAAATTTCTACAGGAGATAGACCAAATTGAATATTTTTTTTAATTAGATACAGAAATTCTGCAGTTTCTTGCAATAGTTATGAAATATATTCATGATTGATATTTTTAGGGAAATCACTGTTTAAAGACAAATATGAATTTCTGCATGAAAAAATCATTTTGCTATATACTTAGGAAATATTGACACTTAATTTCAATAAGTGTATACAAATAATGATTTCTCAGTAATGACACGTCATAAAAATATTTCACTTGAACCAGAAAAAAAATGTACACATTTATGAGTTTAACATTAAAAATTTCATCAAAATCGGACATAAAATAAATTCATGACAATATTTTTTAGAAATGTAATTTTAAATGAATTGATAGGGGAATTTCCAATTACACCTGCCTTAACAATGTCAATGTACTTAAATACTTACTATCTTACAAATGTATATATTTCATTTCTAATTGATCTTATATATTTCCTTATTGTTTTTATTTTTGATAAAGAAAACAAACAAAATGTCAATCTAGAGATAATAAGAGAAATGAAGACTATGAACTTGCTATGGAAGTTACGTCTTATCGATCACCGACAGTTTGGACTGACTTCAGATCATTCGAGAATCCTTCGGATTTAGCTCCGTGCGAATATCACATTCCATCTGAAGTCGATAATATGTATCAGAGCCTTGATTTTACCGTTCGAAGTCACGTGGCTCCAAAATTTGCAGGGGAAGATAACTACTCTGTTGTCAACATTGCAAATAACAAACAAAAAGGAGAACACTTTACAAAAAGCAAAAATGCCATGTTTGAATTGAAGGACATGGGGGATAAAAGTAGTCGAAATCTACAAAAAATACCAATAGTTAACCAGATGCGACCGACCAAGACGATACCATCAGAAGAGACCGTTGCCTATTGCGATACATCAATTATCCATCAAGAGTTTTTATATGATGTTCCAAAAAACTCTATTATTGATGGAGTCGGACATTCGAACAAGGAGGGTTATACTAATAATTTCACAGCCAACCAAAGAGCAGTTACAATTTTTCCTTCAAAGGAAATAAACCAAGTAATATGTACTCGTATTTCAAAAGATAAAAAGGAAAACGCAATGGAATCCTTCAAAGATAAACTTAATATGTCTCTATCAAGGACACAATTTCGCCAGCCAAACGCGTATCCCGTGAACCCTTTTCCCATGCCTGATAATGCAATCTACTCTTTTGCAAAATAAGGAAACATGATATTTTCATATCATATTAACTCGATTAACATTTACTTCTTTGAACAAAAAAAGTACAAATGTTCAGTAGGAAAAACCAAGATCATGTTTTCTAGAGCAAAAGTATCACAAATTAGTTAAAACACATTTAGTTCACTATTGTTTAAAGATTTTAAGAATGGACTAAGTAAGCGGAGAAAACATTTACATAATAGACAATCTCTATATGTGTTGAAACAGACAAAAATACATTATACTAGAGTACAAAAAAAACGTACAGAAACATATTATTATCAATTTTATGTAAATAATATACATACAATATTGTAAATGTTTCTTTGTATTATTATATATATTTATCATATTTTCTTTCTAATGAACAAGTTTAGAGACATCAAAGGAAATTCAGGTTTTTAATAATCGAAGAAAAATTGAGAAGTAAATGAGCAAAAAGGAAAAAATTTTATTGCATCATTTCCAACTTTATAAGAACGCTAGAACATGAGCCCATAAAATATCAGATTAGCTGGAGTGCCCCGACAGAGCATCTATTTTCTGTACAAAAGTTTTATAAGGATCAAAGTTGTACGATATAAATGTCGCTTTTAACTATTAAGTTAAACAGGAAATCACAACAGATACCGGGAACTATATCATTATACTTCGCAGGCATGCTTTTAAAATACCTCGAAAATTTGAGAGGATTGTATCAAAGTTAAAATGACTTGTGAAGATTCAATCATATGTCTTTTTTAATCATTGCAATCGACTATTATTGTGAAGCTGTAAGGACATATGAGGATCAGTTCCTGTCGTTTTACGTCATCGTCGTCGTCTGTGTCAAACTTAGTGAAAATGGCTGAATAAAATTTAACAAAATGTGCGCAGTCTTTTACAGGATATGCAAGATCAACAATATATTCTAAATATTTGAAGCACAAACACATTTTTATCAAAATTTCGGTTTGCGTAAAGGTTTCGTTATTCTCTTTTATTCACTGGGATTCTTAATGCGTTTGTGATTCTCAATTTTCGGATTCAATGTAGTATTTTGTACATTCTTCTATATTTTTATTCAAGCATATTTTTTTTTATATTTTCTTGTTTTTTCACAAAAGAGATAGGTGTATTGTATTTAAGACGCTTTCCGCAAACGTAAATCTAATGTTTTATTGTCACAAATTATAATGTTTACCTTACCATGATAAGCGGATCTAGATAAACAAGTATTTCTGATTGTAAATGCGAGATTGTGTCATCGAGACTTTCAAATCAATGTGTTCCTTAAACTAAATAAATAAACAAAAAGAAGTTATCTCCATTTTAATGCAATACCGAATAAAAAAGAATATGTTTATCTTTTTGAGGGTATATTCTCTCATTGAGTGTTCCTGAATGTCAGGCATTACTATAAGTCAATATAGAATAAAAACATCATTGGATCAATATAAGTCATCATAATACTTTCAGTTGTATGATATTCTAGGTTTTTTATCATTATCTTCTCGTAGCTATTTTGTGTTGTTTATAGCCGAATTTTATGTTTTCAATCAATTCAATAAGAAGATGACTTCTTTAATGTATTTCAAAAGCGTTTGACGTATAAAAATACATGATCACAAATATGTAAATAAAATTCGGACATGTCATATTAAACAAAATGTTTGAAATGGCAACACAGCACCAGTACAACCTTTATGTCATGGTCCGTTCGCATATTTTATTTCATAGAGTATTTACAGCATTCCAAGCTAAATGATCCGTTTTTATTCTATGGATATTGGAAAGATTTGAGTCTAAAGATTTCCATTTGTCTGACGATCTATCCATTGAGAGTTTATATTGTTCTGAAATATTCATCACTGAAAATCCACGTGCTTTTGATTTATTATTCAATGAACTGCCACCGTTGTCATTATGTATGTCTACTCTGTTTGCTTTTGGGATGTCATTCATTGATATTCCGTTTGATTTGCTTTGGTGTACAGGTTGTCGTCTTTTTCTGTAAAAGAAGACAGCAAAAAATAAAAGTGATATTTTAATAACATGATTACAAAGATTAATACAAATACCAAGGGAGAGCACCGTCATATAACTTTCGTTGAAATTGAAATCATCCCTTTGAAAATTTTACTGACGCCATTATGAGTTGGTTGACCTTTATGGGTTATCTATTTCACTGATTACGACGGATATGTTCCAGTTGTCGTAACTACAATCCCGTCCTCTTTTCCTCGAATGTGACATACAGAAGGAGATTTATAGCCGGTTGTATACTTACATGAGCACCACGACGGGTGTCAAGATCTGCTTACCCTTCCGGAGCACCTGCGATCACCCCCTGGTTTTTGATGGGGTTCGTGTTGCTTTGTCTTTTAGATTAGTTTTCTATTTTGTGTTTTGTATACTGTTGTTTTTGTTTGGTTTTTTTTGTTTGTCTTTTTTCGGTTTTTTTTTTTGGCATGGCATTGTAAGTTCGTTGTCGACTTTTGAGTTTAAGTATCCTTTTGTTATCTCTTTTTTGATACAAGATATTAAAACTAACAAATATGTCGAAGTTATACATTTCAGACATCTATGGCCTGATGATTTTAAGATCTTTAAGAACAATATATGAAAAACTAAATCGCCTCGACTTGAAAATACAAATGTAGATTTGAATATTTTACAGAGACTTTCAAAGATCTGCCATTAAGGATGTTCGCTTGTCATGTTTTGGAATTTTTGTCAGATTTTCGGATTCCTCTGGTTATATCAATTCGAATGCCTTAAAAAAATTTGCCCACTAACCCCCATTTTTCTTTTTAAAATCTTTTACATTTATGATTATAAACCATCTGTAAAAGTCTTATAAAATCTTTGTTATTTTTTAATAGTTTTTGAGAACTTACACTTGTCAATAATGAAGCTATGAAAAATCAAGAGAGAACATTTTCCCGCCAAAATTTCAATGGCTAATATCTCGAAAACAAGAACACGGACCTTTATTTTTTTACGCTCTTTTTGGTTCCTTTTTTAATCCCCTATCAATATATACTAGTGTTATGAAAAGCTTTTTATTTTGAAATAAGTAGCGAACTTCCTTAACAATAAATTTACAAAATACACAAAAACTTGAAGACACGAAAAAGACGGCCATTGATTTGAATAAAGCGAGACATGTTCGACAATAAGTTTTTTTGTTTTTTTTTTTTTTTTTTGGGGGGGGGGGGGGGGGGGGCTACTCGATTGTTTTAATGGGTTATTATATTATAATCGATTGGTGACGTTTTGAAACACGATCCAGAAGAAAATACACTCAACATAAAAGAGCATTCTATTAAATGTGCAAGATTTAAAGGATGTTTCAGAAAATAAAACTATACACTTGAAAGACCCGGCTATTCCATAATAAAGGGGGATCATAGCAACATAAATTAAAGGATTATTGTTTTAAATATGCATGTGAATAAGATTGGAGGAAGATTAGTAAATTTCGTATTACTTTTAATAGTTACATGTAACTAAATCATACCAAGGGACAGTGTCTTTTTAACTGCCCATCTAAACAATCATATTTCAAATTTATACCAAACCAGCACTTTTTTTAGTTTATAAACATTTAGAGCAGGAGAATTTTTCAAGCAAGACTTAATGTCTAAAGATGTCAATTACCGCTAGGGGAAAAGAACGGGAGATAATAAACCTGCTCTGACTTAAATGTAAAAATTAAAGTTCACAATACAAATAAAGCTTGAATCATCTCTTTTATGGGTGAGTGCAGATCTCACTCGATCCTTATTGTCAATTTTTAGATGAAAGTCCAGAATGAAGCAGAATGAACTGTATCTGAGCTATCCCTAATTTACAATTCGATGGGATAGATGCGTTCAACATAACCACCAAAGTTTAAATTATTTAGAGAATGGAATCCTCTATATGGCGGAACGCAGAGTTAAAGAGTAATGGTAGCTACTTTTCATACTCCCTGAAAGCTCCTGCATGAAATCTGTCGTAAATGAATAAAGTAGCAAGTCGGCAAGAGGAGCACAGTTGGTTCCTTCAAGAATGCATATTGTCTTTTGAAAAACACGTTTTCAAACGTAACAAACATGCATTAATTTTGATATCAATAAAATAAATCAAGCATCTGGATGATGTTAGTTTGAGTGGATTTTTTGTTTGAAATTATTAAATTGAACGTGTTTTTTTAAGTATGTATAATCCCTATTGTCACAATAACTCCAAAGCCATTTTTGATTGCTGACAAAAAAAGATTAAGAAGTAAATGGTTTGAAAAAAGATGGATCATTTAGCTGACCAATTTGGGTATTCAGTACAGTGAAGAAAGATCAATTTGTTCACTATTTCATCTTTGGTTAAGTGTCATGTGAGTATAGTTAAGCTAGGTTTTTTAGTGAATTGTCAAATGCTTAATTTCTTTTAAAATCAAGCACTTAATGTAAATAAATGCTATTAACAAATACAAGAGAAATGATGTACATAGGGATTATTTGTCTGCGGGGATAACAAATATGTTAGGAGGTAGGACAGGTTTTCAGCAAAATGTGGGTCTTTGAAAATAGATGTAATATATGGGTGATCATTGAAACATTAATGTTCTAATTCGTATTTGTATCAATTAAGTCACAGCCTTAACTCATTCGGAAATAGTATATACATGTATGTCTTTATTTTGTCTTGTATTCTATTGTCTGGCATCATCCTCGACAAATCCATTAATATTGTAAGGTTGAGTTTCAATTTGTGGATTTATGCTCTTGGTATTTTTCGGTCCTTTTGGTTAACACTTTTTGCAGAGAAATGATGTTGACATTGTTCAGGTCACCAGTAATAACGTGGCCTGTCGGATTATATATGAATGGGGAACTAACACAAGTGCATCAGTAGGTTTAGAATTGAATTCGTCATGATTGAAATCATGGAACACGTGTTTGTAGTTTTTGGAACTGTTGTGGTATAGATAATAAAGATGATAGGAACAGGCTGATGTTTACCGAAGATAGGTTTTTTTAGATTGCACTGATTTACGATGAAAGATATTGGCTAAACTTATGGCATCAAGATGGAAAGTTTCAGAAATGATCGTTTCTCCCGTTACATTTTTTCCAATGCCAACCCATCTGCAAGTATATGAAAAACAATATTCACGATGATTCATTTTTTTTTACTAAAATGTATTCTTCCATTATGGAAGCGGAAAAATAAACAAGAGGCATACGATACAGAGTGGATAGTCTTAGTTTCATGCCAAGGGGACATTCTTAGTGTCGTAATTGTCATATGGTTTAAAGTTTCTTATCTGTTTCAATGTATGTCATTTTCAAACTGGGCTGGGCTCTGTATCTGTCTGGATCTGTTTATGCTATCTTACTTTAACTTTTTTTTGTAAGAGTGTCGATTTTTTAAGTTTTTTATTAATATCATAAAAAAAAACTTGCCTTTTCCATATGAGGGAAACGCTTAGTCCAATAACAATAAATAAAGCTATTCCGATCATTGCCAAGGCCGTAACTCGTATTTCTGTCAAAAAGATATGAATTATTATATGTAAATATCAGTCAAAACACACATAAACACAAATGCATATGCATACAATGCATAGATCAATATTAATCGAATTTCAGATCCCCACCTTTAAATGAACATTTAGTTTAAACACATTGTATTCGCTCAACTAAAGCAAAATGCACAAGACTTAAGTAAAACATAAAACATTAAACATTTTGGGCTTTTTATGTTGTTTTACATTTTCTTCTGCCGGGGCCTTGTTTATCTTGCTAAGTGGTATGGGTTTTGATCATTGTTGAAGGCCGTAAGATGACATACAGTTGCTTACATCTACGTCATTTGGTTTTTGGTGCAAAGTTGTCTCATTAGCAATCATATCACATCTCCTTATTTTATATTATATAGTCTGCTACATGATGCTTTATGATACTATAACAGTTTGATCATATTCATTAAAAAAACAGCTCATCAAATATGAATACGACCTATGAATGACGACAAAAAGAAAGGAAAAATTTATTTGTGTGTGTTGATGACGTATATTTTGTGGATGATGATGGTTAGTGCCAGTATCATTAATAGGTTTATCAAGGCAAAATAAATGTATTTGGCATTCAGATAAAATATGAGCATGATTTGAAATTAAAATATTTTGTTCATTTGAAAATTCAAAGATTACGCAAGATTATTATTTGTACCAAAAACATAGTGTTTATTGGAAGCCAATTGAGATTGATCATGAAATCATAACTATACGTACGGTGGTATTTGTATTTCAGAATGTTTCTAACAATTTGTGGAGTACTTCTGAAGGCTTGACTAACTGTACAGTGCCATAAAAATACTTCGGAGAAATTTATATTTTAAGTTGAATTAAAAAAAAAACATTTTTGTTCACTACCAATAAAATAAGAAAACAATACCTAAAGCATGGTCTGTGTCCATTTCCTCGTACGTTATGTTTTGTTTAATGTCTGAAATAATAAGAGGTTTACTATAAATGTTTCAAATATTTGTTTTTGTTTTTAATACTAGTAGTGTGGTTCATATTGGAATTAAGTACATATTGTTGAGTAAGTGTAAATGAGACCAAAGTTACTGCTTTACTAGGGCGCTAATGCAAAAATAATAGCGCTTTTATTGCATGTATCTATATTTTGAGGATTACAGAACAAATATGTTGCCAATCAGCAAACTCGAAAAAGTCGCCTCTTTAGAAGTCTTTATGTTTCATCACATACTGTTTTGACCGGTGAATTTGTAACCCGGAAAATGTTACCTCTACCGATGTCACGTGGTGCATACATAATAGTTTTTTATCTCTATTTTATTTTTTTTATTTTTAACCCTTTAAATATACCTTAGACCGAAAAGTCAAAGGGTTGGTTATACGCACTTTTTCTGTTGCTAGATTTCCTCAGCTTTATGAAAGTCCTTTATGATTATTGTATATAGTGACAACGAGTGTATTATGTAGAATATATTGAAGTATTTACCCATATCAAAGCTGCCGTTGGAGTTTTGAAAGTTGATAATGTCGAGATGTATATCTGAAAAATAATGTTAAGATCAGACATAATACATAATACTATAATAACATGTGAAGTTTATCTCGGTAATTGTTTTGTCTTTTGAAACAATAGGACTTTACATAAGATTCTACCATAGCATTGAAAGAGATACAATTTTCTCCACTGAGAGAGTTTTGTTGAAGACCCATTGGTGGCCTTCGGCTGTTTTCTGCTCTTTGGTCGGGTTGTTGTCTCTTTGACACATTCCCCATTTCCATTCTCAATTTTATTATAGTTTATTAGTTTTTAAAATGCGAGGCATGCCGCGAGCGTTTTAGATATTCACAATTTTGTCTTTCGACGCTTGTTAAATAACGTATTCCACGAGATACATTTGATTTTTTTTTAGACACACATTTTATTTCAATGTTCAATGTTATCAAAGATGGTCGCCTTTATTCGTAACGCCACAAGAGCAAAATCAGAGGCTGGTTAAGAAATTTCACGTCATTCAAATGAATGATTAGCTGAGAACTTGAGAACCACAAGTTGATTATGAAGAATAATGGAAAAGAAAAATACATTTTAGTGTAATTTTTAAAATTTCAAAGACAATTTCTTTATTTCAGAGATAGTTAACGATGTCTTTTTAGTTGTATTAGGAACGGGGTTTATTACAGAAACGTACGCGTGTGGTCATTACAATACCACCCTCTGTAATATACAATTTTCGTTATAATTTTTTCCGTATATAAACTTTGCAGTGTAAGAACGTAAACTCCTAAGCTGTTGCAATATTTAAGACTTGAAATGATTAAATCTCCTTAAAGTGAATACTTAAGAAGATTGAGACTAGCACAAAATTAGTACACGACATCTTATAAAAAATGAAAACAACACTTTATAAAATACATCGCTTTTCTGAATTAACTTTCATCAGGAACGCTCAAAGCCAAATATTAAAAAAGCCAAGAGAGTATAAGAACCTCAAAAGATGAAGAGTTGTATGTAATATGAACAAAAAGGGACCTAAAAAAATTGCAAAATCCATTTAATGTCAACTTTGCCTGAGGGAGATGAGTTATATATTGATACTAATTAGTTGATACTCAGGATAAAAATCAGAATGTATTTCAATTATAGTAATACATGTAGTACCAATTATATATACAATTGATCAGGTACTAACATCTAGTATATTAATGAAATAAAATATTGATTGATTGATTGTTGTTTGCTTTATGTTCAGTGGCAAATATTCCATACATATTCAGGATGAAAAATAAAATAACAATAAATCCAAAAGATAATCGACAGGGATGATGGGCAGGAAATTTGGAATGCCACTTGAAAAGGAGAGTATACTGGTTAGGGTCTGAAATTAAACCTTACAATGTACCACCTAAGAACCCCTCAGAGAGAGTTGTTGCTGAGGGTTTCTTAACGTAAAGAGACCTTATCTTTATGCTCCTGTCAATAATACAAAAATTGGAGACGAGATAAAGCGATGTATATATTTTAACAAAGACAATTTTTATTGAAAATGTCAAAAATGCAGCGGGTAAACTTTTTTCTCATTCATAGCACTTCATTATTCCTGATTTTAACATTATAAGTTTTCCAAATTTGAAACTTGATATCAACTTCGACATTGTCGCATGTGATATTTGTTCATTAAAACTTAAAAGGCACAATAAATATTTAATACAAAATTCTTACCTGGCGGCATTTTGATTTATTCTCCTATAAAACTACGCTCATAAATGTAAACAGGAAACTCATATTCTGTCCTTCCCATTCATGTTATTATCTAAATATTATTTACTAAACTTCGTTTACTTATTCATTTTATCTTATATCAGAATTTAACGGATGCAAGCTTCCTTTTTAAAAATGTTATAGTAAACTTGTACAATTCTGACAGACATCACATTATACGTAGTACAATCAATATTCAATATAATGGGTATAATAACTCATCAATGATATTTTTATTAAAGTCTCACCAGGCAGATAACTTTGTGCGCTAGACGCGATTTTCATCTACAAACGACTCATCAGTGGCGCTCGATTTAAAAAAAGGTTAAAAGGCCAAATGAAGTAATATTTCGAACAGTTCAAAATTTTGTAAACAGTAAATATTTCGATATTGTTAATGCGTAGAAGGGTACGAATTCAAATAAATTAATCTGACGTATTAAAAAATTCAAGACCGAACAAGTAAATTACATGTCAACTTCAATTTTTATATGCCAAAAAAATGTACATAATGTACATACAGTAACATATCATTGAAGGATAATCAGTGACCAATCAAAACACCGCGTTGCAGAACCTTATTTCGACTAGTAAGCCCAATATTGGAGCTAAATAGTGAAATCATTTAAAGTACTTAAATTTGTGAATTTGAATTTTAATAAGGGATACGTATTTTCATTTTTGTGAAAGTCGATGTTGTCTATCTTTCATTAAATGACCTAAATTCCGAAATGACTGCTTTCTCCACTATTTGTACAATTCCTTTGAATAGTCATGGCCGTTTTTTGTGTCCAGAACAGTCTAAAATAAATGCTGACACAAAATAATGTCCCAGATAGATTGTACGTAATAAAACAATTTCAGTTTCTTGTGAAGAATTATCTGGAATTTAATAAAATTTATTTTTATTTAGTACATATGACTTTATCTATTCTGTTATTAAGGAAACTAACTTACTTTTGCGCCATTTCATTTTGAAAACTAAAGGTGTCATTTGAATTGAACCTATAACAATGAAATTGGAACACAGCTGCGTCAATTTGACAAATATATTTATTAAAAACCAAATGATTGACTTCCCCCCTCCTTTATATTGGCTTGTAAACGGTACTTAACATCGCTGCTTTCCTTTGCATGCTATTCTCGAACATTTGCATGTCTTTTAGTTTATGTTGCTTTGTGTCATGTACATGGTTTAATTTACAGCTTGACTCATCGTTTCTTGTATAATTCCTTTGAATAGTCATACGCAGTTTCTTGTGACCAGAATAGTCTAATGTTGACACAACATAATATCCAAGTTAAGTAGTAATCAAACGGTTTTAGTTGTCGTGAGATATTATCTGAAACTTATTAATCAAATATGTATTACCTTCTTGCCTTTTAGACCTTTTCAACAACTCACATCACCGACTATTGACACCTACAGTTTACAGGAGAAATAGAGGGGTCGTATCAAAGATAAATTCATTCAGGTAGAACATGCATGTAACATAAACGTAGTACTACATATTCGATTTAAACGGTATTATTAAAAAAAAAAGAACGGATATTGTGCAAATAGCTATTCTGGATTTTCTGTGTTTTTCCCCTTTCTTTCATATAATTATACCCCACGCAACGGGTTGCGGAGGGTATAATGTTTTTGACCCGTCCGTCCGTCAGTCCGTCAGTCCTGTTTCTTGTCATCGCAACTCCTCTCAAACCACACAACAGAATTTCACGAAACCTTTTTAGATAATAAGGACATACTATGTAGTTGTGCATATCGACAGGAAATTGCAATTCAATTTTTTTTCTAGGAGTTACGTCCCTTTAAACTTATTTACTTTAATGTACTACTGCAACAGTTTGTCATCGCAACTCCTCTGATACCACACAACAGAATTTCATGAAACCTTTTTAGATAATAAGGACATACTATGTAGATGTGCATATCGACAGGAAATTACGGTTCAATTTTTTTTCTAGGAGTTACGCCCCTTTGAACTTATTTGCTTCAATGTACTACTGCAACAGTTTGTCATCGCAACTCCTCTGATACCACACAACAGAATTTCATGAAACCTTTTTAGATAATAAGGACATACTATGTAGACGTGCATATCGACATGAAATTACGGTTCAATTTTTTTCTAGGAGTTACGCCCCTTTGAACTTATTTGCTTCAATGTACCACTGCAACAGTTTGTAATCACAACTCCTCTGAAACCACACAACAGAATTTCATGAAACTTTGTAGATAATAAGGACATACTATGTAGATGTGCATATCGACAGGAAATTATGATTCAATATTTTTTAGGAGTTACGCCCCTTTGAACTTATTTGCTTCAATGTACTTCTGCAAGTCTGTCATCGCAACTCCTCTCAAACCACACAACATAATTTCATGAAACTTTGTAGATAATAAGGACATACTATGTAGATGTGCATATTGACAGGAAATTATGATTCAATTTTTTTTTTCTTATACAATTTTTTTTTCTTGCACATATTTTATTTCTCCAATGACAATGTGGGGACGTGGGGTATGTGAGCGCGCTCACTAAGGTTCTTTAATTTTGACAGTATATAAAAGAACTTTCTTTCATTCTTAATCATATGTAAAAAATATTTATAAACCATTTCTCTTTCAATTCTATAAATCTTTTAAAAAATCGGCAATCTATTCACATCTGAATCTATTGCTTCTTCTCTTAGTTAAATTAAAAATGATTATTGATATCTAGTTGTACGAATTTTCCATGGAAGACTACTTCGCTTGCCAATAGCCGTTAACTCGTTTTTGGAATGTTATTTTATGACTCTAAATTTTATCCTCCCCATTGTAACAAAGTTACGGATAGGACATTGCAACTAGACTATCTGTCTGTCCGTAACGCGTCCAAAACACACGTGTGGCTCAGCAGATCTTCACTATACTTGTTGTACATATTGAATATACTTGACTGTTATAAGTTCCCGAATGAATAAGACCTTGTCTCTTTGTTTTTGATACATACATTTCCGTTCCCGGACATAATCATCACGGAAAACACGTCTAGTATGTTGTAAGAAGCTAGAACTGCTTACCCTGTCGGAGCACTTACGTTGATCCCAGTTTTACGGAGTCAATGTTTTCTCATATAACTTTGGTCTTCTATGAGAAAAATTGTCCTTTTCTCTTGTCCCCCGATTTTTTTTCTTTATTTTCCCTTTTGTTGATCTACGCTTTGGTTTTCTTCTCTTATTTAGTTTTACTATGCGTCCAATGGTCTTTTTTTTATTTCACCTCTGAACAAACATAGAGAGAGGTTTTGTATCCGTTTATATATTAAGTCAAACCCCCGCTGTATATGTTATGCGTTCCAACCTCGGAATATGTTGGTCAATAGTATATTCTTTTCTCGTTAGAATTTTTAGTTTACAATATTATGCTACGGCCTTGGATTTTATCTCTTTGTTTTGTAGGAGCCGTTCAGATCTCGCTTCTTGGTACTGAATTCGAAGATCACGCGGTAACTCTAAATGTCAGTTTTGTGTGTTGCATCGTGTGATTTATTCGTGCCGTGTCCATTGTCCGTGCCTGGCTTTTCTCATTATTGTCAAAGTCTGTTTTGTGTAATTTGAATTGAAAAAATATAAGAAAATATGAAATAGAACATTCGCCTTATCTAAATGTTCTGTACATACACATTTAAGTTGAACATATAGCATGAGTGAATTAAAAAAAAACCCTACTAAGTATAAAGAACATTGTGAAGGCATCCGAGGCAAAAAAAATAACGGACTTTGTAATGACATGTGCCGCACTTGCCAATAGACATAAATTTTTTTTTTCATTTTGCTACCTTAAAGTAGCTAGATTCTCATCTTCTAAAAATATAGAATAGAATGTTAAAGATTTTCCTTTTATTTATTCATTAGGGTCTGGATGGGGGTCCATCAACTCTGTATTCTCTTTTTTTTAAGTATTTTTCTCTATTCTTCTTTTGTTTTCCCCATTATTCTCTATATTCTTTATTATAATTTAGCACCCCAGTATTCTCTATTCTTTATTTTTTGGGCCTATTTTTCTCTTTTTTTTACCATGATTCTGTAGTATTGGTCTATTTATGTCTATTCTGTAAACCCCATCTAGACCCTTATTCGTACTCAATTTAAAATAAAATTAAAGAATTTAAATCAGTAAATGTTTAATAACCAAAACAAGAAAAAATATCGTTATGGTGAATACAAATAGGCAAACATTTTTTCCTTTCAATTCAGTTACTGATAACAATTATATCCAACCATTACTACTTTGAGACGACCACTTACATCTTACCTGTCGTAGTCGTTGTCAACTGTAGGTGTAGATAATTGTTGAAAAGGTCTTTTATGAAGTACATATGACTTTATCTTTCTGTTTTTGAGAAAAGGGTACTTTTTTGTGCACGACGTTCTTTTCATACACCCACTTTGTGTATTAATTGTCTTTAAACTGAAGAATAAGATTCAAGGAGGCCGATGTCCATTTGCGTCAAAAATACATTCATTAGCACCACACTCAATATAGTATGCATGAGTATTACTTTTGCGCCACTTCATTTTGAAAACTAAAGGTGTCATTTGTACCAATAAAACTTGAACACAACTGCGTTAATTTGACAAAATGTTTAATATATTTGTTAATAACCAAATAATTGACTTCCGTCCTCTTTTATATGGACTTGCGAACGGTACTTAACATCGCTGCTTTTCTTTGCATACTGTTTCTCGAAATCTGCATTTCTTTAAGCTTTTATTGCTTTGTTTCATGTGAATGATTTAATTTACAGCTCATAATAACGGCTTGACTCATCCGCGAACAACCTAGAAGAACAAGACTTAACCGCATATTTTTATCTTATTTCGAATTTGTTATGAAAATCATAGAAATCCGTACATGTGCGAGACAGCTCTTTTACTGAACGATTTTTTTTTTTGTTTTAAATACATTTGTGACTGTGATCAGTTAAACTTTAAGTTGAAAGGTTAATACTAGTGCATTTTACATGACACCGGGTAAATTATATAAATTAATTAAGGTACATATTGCGCAATTCGCCATGGATTCCGTTTTTTCCATCAAAGAAATA